GGTTTAGGGCTTAAGGTTCTTAGAGGGAAGGGGAGGGGGGGGGGAGGGGAGGGAGGGGGGGCAATTGCCGTCATGACCCACAATCTTGTCGAGCTTGCGGCTTCGGCTATGTTTTGCCTGGTTGCTGAAGAGAGCAAAGTGCAGTATCCCTCATCCCTAACTCTAAGGGTAGTTACAGGTCCCTTAGTATGGGCCCTTCAATGGGACCCCTTACATACCCCTTTACATACCCTATAAAACCCGAGGGCCTAACCCTCTACAGACCATATTACGCGACCATGGAACCTTCCCTTAGACTAAGCCATCCCTCACCCTCACACCCTTCACCCGAATGCTGCGTCAAACCCCTAAACCCTAAACCCTAAACCCTAAACCCTAAACCCTAAACCCTATTACTGAGGGCGCAGCCAGAGTCTCCTGCTGGATCTTCACCCGCGAGGGAGCACTGGTCCCGCTCAGCGTGGTCAGGCCTGGGGCGCAATGAGGCCTTTTTGGGGGTTTAGGGTTTAGGGTTTAGGGTTTAGGGTTTAGGGTTTAGGGTTTAGGTGGGTTTACGGTTTGAGGTTTAGGGTATAGGCTTCGGGTGCAAGGTTTGGGGTTTAGGCTTTACAAGGGCCAGAGTATAAAGGGGCACCCTCCTCTACTGCTTGAAGGGGTTTCTACGTCCGATCCGAAAAAAAGAAAGGGAATAAGAGGTCTGGTCTGGGTCCCAGATAGGGTCTAGGGCCAGGCGGGTTCCCTGAATAGGCTCCTTAAAAGGGTCCCCTCCCCAACACAAAACTTGAAGGGTTGCAGGTATTTAGGGTTTGGGGGTTTAAGGCTTAGGGTTTAGGATTTGGGATGTAGGGTATGGTGCCTGGGATGTAGGATTTGCAAGGCTGGCAGGGCTGGTTTGAGAGGCCTTTCCGAGCTTAGACAGGAGTACGTGCAGGTTCATTGGTAGGTAGAAGTAGGGTTGCAAGTCCACCATGCAGGATTTCTATCTTCATCCTGCCTAGAAGGTCAGGTAGAACTAAAGCACCTATGAACAAGGTTCCAAGTAAGCAGTCGAACTGGAGGCTCGAGCTTCCGTGGTGCCGTAGTCGTGCCCAAAAGCTGCAACGTAGACCAACAAAGGCCTAAAGCCTAGGCTCCTAGACCCTAAACCCTAAACCCTAAACCCTAAACCCGAAACCCCTTAGGGCATCAGTCTGCAATCCATGCTGCCTTGGGGATCCGAGCCTTCTGAAGCGTCGGGGTCTATGACTCAGGTGTCCCGGCACAAGGATCGAAGGGTCAAGCTTCAGGGGTGCTCTTGCATGGTCATGGGCAGCTACTTATCAAGCAATGGGGATACCCTGGTAGCACTTCAACACTTCAACACTTAAACCCTAAACCCTAAACCCATAACCCCTAAAACCCTAAACCCTAAACCCTAAACCCTAAACCCTGGGGGTGCGCCGAGCTCGGCACGTTCTTTGAACTCCCTCTGGGCATCTGCTTGGTGGAACACGAAGATGTCGAACAGCTCATCCTGGACCTGCCCCGCAGCAACGATGGCAACATAGAGGGCTTTTTGGGGGTTTAGGGTTTAGGGTTTAGGGTTCAGGGTTTAGGATTTAGGGTTTAGGGTTTTAGGGTTTAGGGTTTAGGGTTTAGGGTTTGGGGTTTGGGGTTGTGGGCTTAGGAATCCTCACAAGCTCTACACTAGGACCTTAAACCCAACTGCCTATGAAACCGTAGTAACATTCGCCCCCGCCCAGGAAGCCCAGTGTAACCTTTATGCCCATAGACAAGGGAAATCGAACCGCACAACAGTTATACGTGTGGTGTATGAGGATTTGTTGTGAACCCTAAACCCTAAACCCTAAACCCTAAACCCTAAACCCTAAACCCTAAACCCTAAACCCTAAACCCTAAACCCTAAACCCTAACCCTAACCCTAAACAACCTGAACCATTCACCCCTAAGCCTCCAAACCCTCAACACTGAACCCCGTGCTCTTTGACGGTATCTGGAAAAATTACACTGGCCGTTAACGTGATAAACCGTGAGCCCCTAAACTCTCAGCCCTAGAACCATTAAACTCCAAGCCCTAACCCCAAACTCTAGACCCTAAAAACGGCTAGTCAGTGGAAGAGATACTAAAAGATTCAAGACCCAAACCCTATCAACCCTATCAACCCTATCAACCCTATCAACCCTATCAACCCTATAAACCACAATAAACCACAATAAACCCTATAAACCCTATAAACCCTATAAACACTATAAACCCTATAAACCCTACAAACCCTATAAACCCTATGAGCCCTAAACCCTAAACCCTAAACCCTAAACCCTATGTTCCAGGGCCTCTCCCAGCTTCGACTTCTGAAGGCGGCCCACCACGAGGAGCTGGGCGTCGCTTGCGGAGTAGATGCGCGTAAGCTCCTGGTTGGGTTGAGGGTTTAGGGTTTAGGGTTTAGGCTAAACCCTAAACCCTAATGACATTGCGGCGTCTCAAGCCGAGCTTCCCCATGGGGCTTAAGAAGTTTTTTTGGGGGGAAGGGGGGGGCGGGCAAGGCTTTTAGGGTCTGCAGGCCGACAAGGGCGTGGAAAATTACTGATATTTTACACACGAGCTACAAGGGCACAGTGTGGGTAACTACAGAAGGCTCCTGTTTCTTGCACGACCCTGAACAAATTTGCCTTTGTGACTTCTCCCTCTTTACAGGTACTTCAGCTACGTGGATCCAAAGTTAAAGCTTTACAAGCCTGCAGTCACAAAGGGGTGCGCTTCAGGCGTTTGAACCGACCTTCTTGGACCCAGAGTGTAGTGTGAACCCTACGCCGAAAACCCTGAACCCTACACCCCTTCGGCCTGTTTGGAGGCCCCTTGCGTGTCCTTGAGCTCCCTAAGTTTATCAATGTCCTGCTAGGACTCTGTAGCTAGGGCTTAGGGTTTAGGGTATATAGGGTTTAGGGTCTCAGGGTATATAGGGTTTAGGGTATATAGGGTTTAGGGTTTAGCCTTATCCATGTCTTGCTTGGACCCGGGAACTATAGGGTTCAGGGTATCTGGGCTCTTCGAGAGATTGCCAGAGAGTTCGCAGGGTGAGGTCTGAGGGCAAAGACGGTGAACCATCAGGTTCACGTACCCCAAAAATGGTTCAAGTAACCCTAAACCCTAAACCTTATAAACCCTAAACCCTAAACCCTAAAGCCTCTTGGAGAGAGGGTGAGCTGAGGCGAGGGCATTGTGCCCATAAGAGCGGAAGATTTCCTGGGGGGCCGATCTTAACAGACTAACCTTTCGACCCTAAGCCCTTAAGCCCTAAACCCAGGGCCCTAAACTACTGTTTGCTTAAAAACACTCCCCCAAAAAACATCAAGATGAGAATCCCTGTCTTGCCATTTCTAAGGAAGAACATTCTTATAACCCTACACCCTAAACCCTAAACCCTACACCCTAAACCCTAAACCCTAAACCCTAAACCCTATTTTGTTGAGGGGTTCTTAAGCAAAGAGTAGTAAAGCTTTGCCTTCATATGCCAGGCTCAAGGGCTTTAGGGTTACTGTAAAGCTTTGCCTTGAGTCTCTGCATCGGGGGTGAGGTTTCGGGTTTAGGGTTTAGGGTTTAGGGTTTAGGGTTTAGGGTTTAGGGTTTAGGGTTTGGAGGTTCATGGGTGGTTAGAAGCAAGGATACAAGTACCCCAACTAGTGCTATCAGTATGGTTGCCGTAATTATAAACTATGTACAGGTCCAAGTAAACACGCAAAAAAAACTGAGTTATGCAAAGCGGAACAGGACACCAGCATAAAAACGCCTCCGATAGGACCGACGAGATCACGAAGCGCCATCGGTTCGCACGAGAGCCGCAAGACCCCAAAGCAGCAGCCCATGCCCTGAACTCCAGCCCCTGAGCCCTGTGCCTTAAATCCATTCAACCCATTTCAACCCCCCTAAACCCTAAACCCTAAACCCTAAACCCTAAACCCTAAACCCTAAACCCTAAACCCTAAACCCCAAACCCCAAACCCTGCCTATAGCCTAAACCCGCAAACAAAACCAAGCCCTCCTCCCATCCAAAAGAACACTCTCAACTCCGAGGCCGCCAGCGCTGAGCCCCTACAAAGCTCCCAACGGATGCAGGCTTCGGCTTCTTCGGGTTTGGGGTTTAGGGTTTAGGGTTCGGGGTTCGGGGGTTTGGGGTTCGGGGGTTTGGGGTTCGGGGGTTCGGCCCGAACTCTACAGTCCTGGGGATGAGTGTAAAGTCTTGAAAAGTGGGAGTGTTGCGGTGTTGCGGCAACCCCTGGCCCTAAACCCCAGACCCTAAACCTAAACCCTGAACCCTAAAAGAGACCCCGAACTCTCTATTAGGGTCTGCGAAATCAGACGCCGCGTAGAGAGACCATGCCATGTCGGAGGTTTCAAGAAAAGCCAAGTTCAAGCTGCTTGGAGTCCTTGTGAAGCAGAAGACTTTCAACATTGGCGTTCAGAGCCCAGGGCCAGTTCTACTTGAGAGTTTACGAAAATAGGGGGCCCCTAATATAGACCCCCAAACAGTAGCATCCCCTCATAAACGGACCCCCATAGAGGTACCCCTATGATGGTAAACCCCCATCCAATAACCCCCCCCAAGGCTCTAACATAGGGAGCCTGAATAGTTGAAATAGTTTTTTTTTTTTTTTTGTTGGGGGGGGTTCTTGTAAAAAACTATAAGGGAATATTTTTCGAAATTCTTCCGACCCCCTTAAACCCTTCAATTGAGGGTTTTTGGTTTAGGGTTTATAAGAGTTAAGAGGGTTTTAAAGGGTTTGTAAGGGTTTGAAAGGCTTTGAAAGGATTTAGGGATTAAGGTCCCCAAACCCTAAACTCCTGAAACCTTAAACCCCAAACCCCAAACCCCAAACCCCAAACCCGAAACCCTAAACCCTAAACCCTAAACCCTAACACCGACATCAGGCGAGTCGCAGGACCGATGGGGCAGAAGCTCTCCGGCGGGCACAGGCCGCAGGGGCGCTTGCCCTCGCAAGTCTTAGGGTTTAGGGTTTAGGGTTTAGGGTTTAGGGTTTAGGGTTTAGGGTTTAGGGTTTAGGGTGTATCGGGTTTAGGGTAGCCACGCTTCGGAGGTTCTCAGAGACTTGAACCTCCCTGACTTAAGGAAGATACTTATACCCTAAACCCTACCCTGAAAAAAAACCTCATAAACCCTTATAAACCCTAAATCCTCGACCCGAAACCCTAAAATTAAGGTTAAGGAATATACCCTAAGGGCTTGGGGGGACGAAGTTGAACTGTTAGGTGCGGATTTGGGAAGTACCTAAGGATCCTTCAGAGGCCGACTTCGAGGCTGAAGGAATTGTAAGGCTTGGGGTTTAGGGTTTAGGGTTTAGGGCTTCTGAGGGCGGCGCAGAGTCCTACAGAAGGGATGCACACGGAGCCTGATCCCGAACTCCGACGAAGAAACTCTGAGGATCCGAAGTTAAAGTCGCCTTCGGGTTTGGGGTTTAGGGTTTAGGGTTTAGGGTTTAGGGTTTAGGGTTTAGGGTTTAGGGTTTAGGGCTTAGGACCCTGAAATGCCGACAGCACCAGCCCTCAAGCAATGAAAGAGCCCTCATGCGTGTAAAGTCCTCCTCCCAAGCCATAACCCCTCCGCCATAGAAGCCGCCTGAATCCCAGAGCCCAAATTCGTTTCAGGATCTAGGGTTTAGGGTATAGGGTTTAGGGCTTCGGAACCTGGAACCCGAACCGCTGGGGCACTCACCGCTCCGTGCCGCGACTGCCCGAGGATTATCAGCCGACGGTTGGTGACCTGAACGGAAGGACTTCTGATTGCTTTGTATGAACTGCAGGAGTACACTACACAACCCTAACCCTAAACCAAAAGCCCAAGAAATCCTTTAAATCAAAACTTCCACCAAACTCCCCAAAATGTCCCAACACAAGTAACGCCGAACTAAGCCCGAGGCAGCCAGCAAGCGTGGCCCACCGCCGCCCTTCCTGACGCGCACGGAAGATGTGGCTTGAATCGAGGTTTATAGGGTTGATAGGGTTTAGGGCTTGTAGGGTTTCATAGATAGGGTTTCAAAGGACTCACAGGATTTCAAGTTGGAGCCGGCATTCCAGACCCTGAACCGTATTGGAAGGGGATGTTCGGGGTTTGGGATTGCTCGTGAACGAACCATCTCGCCGAGCATGTGGTGTGTACAGCTTTAGGGTTCTATGGTTGAGAAGTGTTCGGCCTGGCAAATATTTTTGGGAGATCCTATAAGCCCAGCGCATACGCAACAAGCCAGTTCCACCCCGCTTCCTTTTGCAGCTCGATTTAGGAACTTACGTTTGGGGATTGGGGCGTAGGGCGGCTTGGGGGGCCCTACATGGCCTCTAATACACTAGACGCTGTGCCTCCCGGCTTGATTGTACGAAGGGGTTGTATCTGACTGATGGCCCGTCCTGGGTGCTCTATGGCTAAGGCGGTGGTAAGCCCTAAGCCTTCACCGTCACACATATCAGGATTTCAGGCTCTCTCTATGCCTCTAGAAGCGCACATAACGTCCGTAATTCCTTTGCAGCCGGTTTCTCGTGACGTCTCGCACAGCCTTTACAAGCCTCTTGGTGGGCGAAGGCCGAACAATGTCCGTCCGACACCATGAATCCCAAACAAAACCCTGTAGACCTCAACATCTCCCGTACTCTGGAATGTAGAATGTGTTGCGTCACCTCGACAACCTGTCACACAGAAGTCGCAAATCTGTCGCCCCCACTTCTACCCCACCCCCCCCCCCCCTGTATACCACCTTTATACACCCCTTATACCCCCCCCTTATGCACCCCTTCCTCGTGATAGCTGACCCAGATTTTGCTGATGGTCTTTACATTGGGCTGTCTGAAGTTGGCCATAGATTCAGTGTCGAGCTCTAAACTCTAGACCTTTGAAACTTTAGGGTTTAGGGTTTAGGGCTTAGGGCCTAGGGTTATTTGGGGGGTTTTCCGAGGACGTGGGTAACCCTTCTGGGGGTCCCTTTAAGGGGATTCTTCTCTACCAGGGGTTTCAAAGGGGTACCCGTATTCTTGGAAAAACCCCCTCCATTTTGCTCTTCTAAGGTGGGGTTTAGGGTTTAGGGTTTAGGGTTAGGGTTTAGGGTTTAGGGTTTAGGGTTTAGGGTTTGGGGGGGGGGGGGGGTGGATTCTGCAGCAACTCACGGAGGCCTCACAAATCCAAGGGCCACCGCAAAGAAGTGCCCCGTGCCCTCCTTGTCACGTGTGGGGGTTTAGGGTTTAGGGTTTGGGGTTTGGGGTTTGGGGTTTGGGGTTTAGGGTTTAGGGTTTACGGTTCAGGGTTTAGGCTATCGCCGGGAAAGTTGTGCGTATAGGATGCCTGCACTGACTTTTCTATAAGTCGTGCTGGCTCTTTCTTTCCTCTGCGGGTTGGGGAATGCACCTATTGACCCTAACCATGACCTTGGGGCTTGGATTCAGGGCACAAAATCAGGAAGGGAGTTACCTGATACAAGTAAGGCTTCGATAAGGAGGAA